CTCAAAAAATGAGCTTTCAGTGAGATTGTGTTTGGGCGCAGTATCAGATTGGGTGTGGGAACTCTTCCCCTGCATAGAAATCCTGAACCCTTATAGGATAACGCCAGTGAATTAACTCAGTAGCACCTCATTGCAGTACGCGAGATCCAGGGGGCGGAGTTGGATCCAGATCTAAGGGGTGGAGATGGGTAGGATTAGGGTTAGGGATCAGGGGGCGGAGATGGGTAGGATTAGGGGTGGGGTTAGGGATCAGGGGGCGGAGATGGGTAGGATTAGGGGTGGGTTAGGGATCAGGGGGCGGAGATGGGTAGGATAAGGGGTGGGGTTAGGGATCAGGGGGCGGAGATGTGTAGGATTAGGGTTAGGGATCAGGGGGCGGAGATGGGTAGGATAAGGGGTGGGGTTAGGGATCAGGGGGCGGAGATGGGTAGGATTAGGGTTAGGGATCAGGGGGCGGAGATGGGTAGGATTAGGGGTGGGGTTAGGGATCAGGGGCGGAGATGGGTAGCATTAGGGTTGGGGTTAGGGATCAGGAGGTGGAGATGGGTAGGTTAGGGTTAGGGATCAGGGGGCGGAGATGGGTAGGATTAGGGGTGGGGTTAGGGATCAGGGGCGGAGATGGGTAGCATTAGGGTTGGGGTTAGGGATCAGGGGGTGGAGATGGGTAGGATTAGGGGTGGGGTTAGGGATCAGGGGCGGAGATGGGTAGCATTAGGGTTAGGGATCAGGGGGCGGAGATGGGTAGGATTAGGGGTGGGGTTAGGGATCAGGGGCGGAGATGGGTAGCATTAGGGTTGGGGTTAGGGATCAGGAGGTGGAGATGGGTAGCATTAGGGTTGGGGTTAGGGATCAGGGGGCGGAGATGGGTAGGTTAGGGTTAGGGATCAGGGGGCGGAGATGGGTAGGATTAGGGGTGGGGTTAGGGATCAGGGGCGGAGATGGGTAGCATTAGGGTTGGGGTTAGGGATCAGGGGGCGGAGATGGGTAGGATAAGGGGTGGGGTTAGGGATCAGGGGGCGGAGATGGGTAGGTTAGGGTTAGGGATCAGGGGGCGGAGATGGGTAGGATTAGGGGTGGGGTTAGAGATCAGGGGGTGGAGATGGGTAGGATTAGGGGTGGGGTTAGGGATCAGGGGGCAGAGATGGGTAGGATTAGGTATATGTAAGGTGGGATCCAGATCCAACTCCTCCCCCTGGATTTCGTGTTCTGCAGTGAGGACCATCTCGGCCAATTCTTGCGACTTTTCAAATACTGTCGAGCCTTCGTACAGTATAAAATGCAGAGGAGCAACAATGACGTCAGAATCTTTTCCTTCACGCTGCCATCGCTGAAGACGCACCTAAAGAATTTCTTGACTTCTTGACCACATCCGATGGCTACTTTCTGCAGGATTTGTTCGGGTCCCTTCGAACCGGGTCCCATCATGCCCTGCTGTCGCTTCATTCCCCAGTCCATTTCTCCGACGAGAGCTTCCGCCCTCCTCCAGTTGTCGCAGACTCCTTCGGCGCTGGCAGAGAGGAAGACTCCCTGTCCCTCTGGGCGTGGGAGAAAGACTGGGCAGCGTCGGAGCCGGAGCGCCCTGACACAGAAGGCCCAGGAGGAGCTCGTCAGGGCTCTTGAGAAGGCGGCTAAGGAGCTGGGCCTCGCCTGGAGCGCTCCAGATGGGGCTAGAGTCCAGATGGGGCTCAGCTAGAGTCCAGGTACCTCCATACGGGCCGCCAAACTGCTTCTAGGAGGAGGATACCGTTTTTCCCGGACGTCCATGAGCATGTGGTAAAGTCGTGGTGTGCACCCCAGTCGGCACGCGTCCATGCCTCTTCAAAGGCCTCCTTTTCCCACATGGACATAGTGGAAGCCCACGGCTAGGTGCGCTGTTTCTTCCTCATCCTAACAATCCTGCATTGCTTGCCCTGCCTCAGAGCTGCGTTCAGTGCCTGTCATGACCTCCCAGCGCCACCGGGTTGCCAACATTCCTATTCGAACATCCAAACAGCAGCCAGCTCATCCATCCCAAGCCGTTTCCCCGCCAGCGTCGGCGATCAGAGAGGTTTGGCCACTATCTAATTTCCTAGACACACGGAGAGCTATTCCGGGCATTTCGCGTTGGCTGCTGCAGGGCCGGATTAACCATTAGGGCAACTGGTCACTTGCCCAGGGGCACATGACATCTAAGGGGCCCTGCGCACCGTCAAATATTATGTTAGATCACGTTATAAACGCAGTTCTCTGCACTTTCCTAATTATATGCAGATTTTTGCAACCTATTCGATCAAAATATAATGTTAAATCGCGTCAAAAACAGTGCCTGTATTCCTGCGCAGTGAGCGAGAGCGAGCTATCATGTCGACTCGCGTCGCGTGACTTGACGCTCTGAAATTTGAAGTGATGGAGAAGCAGTTGCCTACGGTTGCCTAACATAAAGGTCTCGACTGTCTAGCGTTATATTTTGCCAACGAACTCAAATTGAAACTGTGATATTGCTTTGTGCCGTTATAAAACAGCAAAAGACTTTAAGTAGCCTAGGCATTCTGTTTGTGCAGCGTGATTTTAAGAGAAGTGCGCGCTTTGCTCACGCGATCAGCATGGTGATCTGGTGTTTTCTCCAAAATGAAAGCTCAAGGGTTTATTTCTGGCAATAGGCTTTATGCCGAGCGTCACGTGACCAAGCCGGAAAACAGGTCACATCGCTTCCGATTCAGGTCTTTTGGATGTGCTTCATGAAATTTTTTGCGGTTTTACTCAAGACAACTTAAAAGGAGCAAGCAAAAATGAGCACAACCAATGTCCCTCGCATGTGCAGATTGATATTTAAAAGTTTTTTAATTTTTCTTCTTCACACTAACGTTTAGATATTTAAACACCATAAAACACCAATAACAAAGTGAACTTAGTAGGTTAGCTGATTACCTTAAAAATCAATAGATATCGTAGTTAGTTATTACGGCCGTTAACACTTTCTCTGACAAGCGGATGCAATGAGACCCGTTTTCCGGTTTGGTCACGTGACGCTCGGCATAAAGCCTATTAAAGAAATTAGGACAAAAGTATTGTAATTTTCCTACTGTGTAATGTAATGCAAAATACTTTTAGGCTACATTTATAGGAGGTATATATGGATTTTACATCATAGGAATAATAAATCATTATTATAATAATTGTTTGGCATCCTAAAACACCAGTGATAATGTAATGTAGACTGAGACTCTATCATAACTAAAAAGATGTTTGAACCCTCTTTAATGTCCAGGTACAAGTCAATGCTTTTTCTTTGTTCAATGTGCACAGTTAATGGATGCATGGGTTAAAGCCGGTTGAAGCTCTTAATTTTGAGCTCTCAAAGTGCACCAGATTGATGCATTTAACCTTAAAATGTACACAATTTTCTTGTGGGGGAGCATGCCCCCTAACCCCCCTAGAGGGATAGAGGTCCACCCAACATAGTTTTATAAAATCCAATGGGAAACACAGATCATTTATGAAGTAATATGTACAACAAAGTTCCTTTTAAGTCAGTAAAACAGTTAATTCCAAATTAAAATGTCCTTGGACAAACTACATTTGGCCTGCCTAAGGGGGGGCCTACAAGACATTGTGCCCAGGGCCCTCTGAATTCTTAATCCGGCCTTGGGCTGCTGGATTTAATTCAACGCGGGTATTCCCTCCAGTTCAAGGCTCCTCCTTGCCGGATTTCCTTCTGTCTCAGTGAACAGCACGATATGGACCCCCGCCCGGAGTTGTGGAGTCTTCATGCCTGGCTGCTGGAGAGGCTATTGGTGCACTACCTGCCCATGTGCTGGACACACACAGTCTCTTGCACCTTCCACAAGGCACCTTTACACTCTGAAATGGGGCGTGTTTGTGAAAGGGTGTTGTGATAACGATATCGACCCAGCGAGCTGTCCCGTGTCGGAAGTTTAACGTTTCCTTCAGCACAGGTTGGATAACGGGAGCCTACCATCCTGCGCTAAAAGTTAATGTGGCCGCTATCGCCTATCGATAACGGGGAGTCGAGCGGAAGGCATGCACTGGTGGTCAGCTTTCTCAGGGGGCGAGACCGTACCGTCCCGGCGTGGGACCTAGCACTGGTTCTGAAGGCTCTCTCTCTTCCCCCGTTCGAGCCCTTGGGGTCTATCGCTGTTTGGGGGCTCCCTCTCAGAACTGCTTTGCTTCTTGCCCTTGCTTCGGCTTGCTGGCTGGTCTTCACAGAACACTTTCGCCAGGTTTTACCAGTTGGATGTGCCGTCTTTTGGCATCTCTAATTTTTTTTTTTTTTAAAGAACAAAATGAATACTTTTATCCATCAAGGATTCATTAAACTGATCAAAAGTGACAGTAAAGACATTCATAATGTTACTTAAGATTTCTATTTAAAATAAATTCAGTTCTTTTGAACTTTCTATTGTTCAAAATCATTTAGCATAGTTTCCACAAAAATATTAAGCAGCAAAAACAGGTTTTAACATTAAATAAGAACAACCATTATTAATAACCGAGTAATAATAATTGAGCATTTCTGAAGGATCATGTAACACTGAAGACTGGAGTAATGATGCTGAAAATTCAGCTTTGATCACAGGAATAAATTACACTTTACCATATTTTCACATAGAAAACAGCGGATTTAAATTGTTTTTCTGATCAAATAAGCGTAAGAGACTTCTTTCAAAAGTTTTATTAATAACTGAATCTCATAATAAACAACCACACACACATTCCCTGAAAGCTTTAACTGAATTGGAAGAGACTACATCTAAAGCCCCATCAACTGCATATATAAATGAAGGGATACAGATATGGTGTCAGATGATCTAAGTATTAAATAAACCGTTAGCACTGATATCAGTCTCTGTAAGACGTCAGAATCACGAGAGCGAGTTACAGAGGATTGCTTGAGTCATTCAAGTCAAGTGAACAGTAAGAGAGAGAGAGAGAGAGAGAGAGAGAGAGAGAGAGAGAGAGAGAGAGAGAGAGAGAGAGAGAGAGAGAATGACCATCACACCTTTACACCTGCTGTCTATTTAATCAAGTTTAACCAACTATTCTCCCAACGGTCCTGGTCCCAATAACTCATGACAACCTCTGATTCTGATGTCATCTAATGTGATGATGTGAAGAGCTACTGCCAGGTGTCTCCGTTCTCATGGAACTGGTGCAGGTGATCCGAGTACCTGTGGGAAGAGTGTGTGGATCATTAAACACACACACACACACAGAGCTTCAAAAAAGTCTCACACTGGGTGAAAACACTCACTTCTTCGCACAAAATGCAGCGCAGTCCCGGCCGATACTCTCACTCCAGGCGGTTTTATACAGCACCTGACACACACACACACACACGGTCATAAGGCTTTACACCAGCAGTAATGGACAGTTAGTCTGAGGGTCATGTGACGCACCAGGAAGACGAGGCAGTGCAGGATCAGTGTGTAGAAGAACGCCACAGTCCTGGCCGTCTTATTGGACAGGATAACACGACCCTGAAACACACACATTTTAACAGAATAATTACAATAGTAATATTTATGGCTGTCATCATTTCTGGGGTTAAAACAGAGATTTGCTTCTGGCAGAAAACCTATGAACTATGAACCCTTTTCACAGTCGGTGATGATGCGTTTCCACAGGTATCACTCGCAAACACAGTCAATTTGATATATTTTCAATGTTTATGTACTTTTATAATGCTATAGTTTGCTATTTTGTAAGTTGTACGACTTCTGCCTCCGAGAAGCCTGTAAATGTGACCAGGCTCCGTTGTGGGGTTGATCCAGGCGAAGCACGGACCACATGTAGGGCGGGACTTGATCTGTCCAGTGAGGCCTGATTGGACTGTATGCTAATGAGGCGCTGTGATGTCATGTGAGTGACAGGCTGCTGGAGGGGCGGGGCTACTGTGGATGATTCACGCTTCTGATTAAAGGTTACGAATCATTCAACAAATCTGTGATGATTGTAAAACACTGCAATATTCCGTTCAAAATATAAGGATTTCATGATGACTTCTCTTTTTATAAACTATAAATCTTCATAAACTATTCTCTATTTTCTTTACAGCTTTAGGAGGATGTTTGGCCGTTGGTGTATGCTGAGTTTGCAGAAGCACGTTATAATCCACTGAAACTCACAGACTGTGAACTCTGAGGAAACAGCCGCTCGTGTGTGTGTGTGTGTGTGAGTGATACACACCAGGCTGAGCGTGGCTTTGTCCCACGGGCTGAGGCTCTGATATCTCCTCTGACGCTCCTAAAGGAGTAAATCACATTAAAAAGCATCACACCTGAATCAACAACAGCAAACACACACTTTCAGAAGCGAGAGTTCATGTTCTCACCCTTTTGCTGAAGGAGGCGAAGGGATCGAGTCTCTCCTCGTACTGAGACGAGTAGCGCATCACTGTATCATCACTGTCTCCAGCCTAACACACACACACACACACACAGAGATGATCTGATCACACTAAATCAAGTCCATGTTCAGACCATTATTCACGCCACTAGGCATGGGGATTTGTATCGTCAACAATAATATCACAATATCACAAAAACGCCCCTGTGAGTTTTGTCTTATATTTATAACCTATGATATAGCAGAGGAATATCACACAAACAAGAGTGCTGTTTTATCCCAAATATCAGCACGATTGCTAATGGGATTTTGATTTTGTCCAATAGTTCAATAAACAAGTTCATATTGTGAGTTACATTTTAGACACAATATTATACTTGTATATTCAATGATGCTGATTTGATTTGATTGGTGACAGCCCTATTGTGTCTCATTATTCTAATTCTATTTACTGAGTAAATCTAAGAATTTGACATAAAGATGTTGCATACATCTAATAAGGTAAGAAAAAACCCACTCATAAAGTTAAAAATAAACCTGGAAGTTTGAGGTGGGAATTATCAGCCATTAACCCTTGTGCGTCTTCATGGACATGTTTGTCTTTTCCAGTTTTCTTGATCAGTTTGCCTGTGTTAATGCCAACTGCATACATCGTGGCACAGGTGTGTATTTTTATATGTATTTTACTATTTCACACCCACTTCCTTTCATTAATCTATTTTGCACTAGTAACACAAAATAGTTCAACTCAGGACCTGAAGGAAAACAATGTCCCCATTGAAACCCATTAAAACTGCAAAATTTTAATCCCAGGGCCATTTAACTATAAAATATAATTATTTTTCTAACAATTTTTTACCAGATGGTGGCATTTTCTCAGGTTTGGCCTATAAAGCAAATACTCGCTTTATTCCTATTTTCTGCTTCTGCATATTATAGAGCTAATTGGATAAATTATGCAGCTATAATTGTGTGTGTGTTGAATGTCAGAGTGTGGTTTGTATGTGTGTAATATTTGAGAGAGAAAAACTGAACTGCAAATCCCAAATCCATCTCTGTGTCCCAGTGGAGTTTCACTGCATCTAATGGGGAAATCCGGTACTGCACCCAAACTAACTCTCACTGAAAGCTCGTTTTTTGAGATATCAACCTCAAATTTGGAATACAACTTAGATTTATGGCTTTTATATAATGTTCATAAATAATTTTCATAAAAATTAAACCTCTATAACTTTACACTTTTTTTTTACTTCAACAATAATCTGCCAAGGGTCTTCTTTAAAATGAGACCACACTTAAGTCTGTGCTCATAAACTTCACATTTATATGACAGTTTTTTTAATTAGGTTAATGGAAGAGTAAATTTGTGTCACAGCTGTGAACTGACCATCGCACAGAATATAAAGCATATGTAAAGCTTGGGGAGTCAGCTGACCACGACGGGCCGAAACCAGCACAGAAACACCCTCAGCAGAATATCGTCACACACGTTATCCCAGGGAGCGGTTAATGGTGTCGGGAAGGACTCACTCTGCTTGGGTAGCTCTGCAGGAACTTGATCTTCTCGTAGAGCTTGATGTTGTCGGCCCGCAGACTGTCCAGCTCGCTCTGAAGAGCCTGTAAGGTCTGCTGTAGGGATCCGCTCGCCTGACACACACAACAACAACACTTACACTCTTCCCTGAGCCACAGGAACCAGGTACAGTCATGCGATGGTAATGTGATGGTACAGTCATGTGATGCGCACTCACGGCCTCCAGCTCCTGGTTGCGCAGGCGAAACCTCTCCCTCTGACTGGAGATGATGGACAGCAGAGAGTCCATCTGACCCTGAGGAAGATCCGCCTGAAGAGAGCCGCCAGCACCTCAACACACACACACACACACACACAACTACTGAGGGATCTGCTTGGCCAACTGTAGGGCTGTCAAAATGGCTGAAAAGCTAAATTCGAATTTCTTTCTTAAATATTAGCAAAATTCGAATTATATTCGAATTCTAAAGGCAATACTTAAAGGGTTAAAAAAAATGTCAGTACACAACCTGAAGGCATCCTAGGTGTATATGACTTTCTTCTTTCAGACGAATACAATCACAGTTATATAAAAAAAAAAGTCCTGACTCTTTCAAGATTTATAATGACAGCGAATAGCAGTTTTTGTTTTGAAGTCCATAAAAGCACATCTATCCATGATAAAAGTGCATCTATCCATGATAAAAGTGCATCTATCCATGATTAAAGTGCATCTTTCCATCATAAAAGTGCATCTATCCATGATTAAAGTGCATCTATCCATGATTAAAGTGCATCTATCCATGATAAAAGTGCATCTATCCATGATAAAAGTGCATCTATCCATGATAAAAGTGCATCTATCCATGATAAAAGTGCATCTATCCATAATAAAAGTGCATCTATCCATGATAAAAGTGCATCTATCCATGATAAAAGTGCATCTATCCATGATAAAAGTGCATCTATCCATGATTAAAGTGCATCTATCCATGATAAAAGTGCATCTATCCATGATAAAAGAGCATCTATCCATCATAAAAGTGCATCTATCCATGATTAAAGTGCGTCTATCCATGATAAAAGTGCATCTATCCATGATAAAAGTGCATCTATCCATGATAAAAGTGCATCTATCCATAATAAAAGAGCATCTATCCATGATAAAAGTGCATCTATCCATGATAAAAGTGCATCTATCCATGATAAAAGTGCATCTATCCATGATTAAAGTGCATCTATCCATGATAAAAGTGCATCTATCCATGATAAAAGTGCATCTATCCATGATAAAGGTGCATCTATCCATCATAAAAGTGCATCTATCCATGTTAAAAGTGCATCTATCCATGATAAAAGTGCATCTATCCATAATAAAAGTGCATCTATCCATGATAAAAGTGCATCTATCCATGATAAAAGTGCATCTATCCATGATAAAAGTGCATCTATCCATGATTAAAGTGCATCTATCCATGATAAAAGTGCATCTATCCATGATTAAAGTGCATCTATCCATGATTAAAGTGCATCTATCCATGATAAAAGTGCATCTATCCATGATAAAAGTGCATCTATCCATGATTAAAGTGCATCTATCCATGATAAAAGTGCATCTATCCATGATAAAAGTGCATCTATCCATGATAAAAGTGCATCTATCCATGATAAAAGTGCATCTATCCATGATAAAAGTGCATCTATCCATGATAAAAGTGCATCTATCCATAATAAAAGTGCATCTATCCATGATAAAAGTGCATCTATCCATGATAAAAGTGCATCTATCCATGATAAAAGTGCATCTATCCATGATAAAAGTGCATCTATCCATGATAAAAGTGCATCTATCCATGATAAAAGTGCATCTATCCATGATAAAAGTGCATCTATCCATGATAAAAGTGCATCTATCCATGATTAAAGTGCATCTATCCATGATTAAAGTGCATCTATCCATGATAAAAGTGCATCTATCCATGATTAAAGTGCATCTATCCATGATTAAAGTGCATCTATCCATGATAAAAGTGCATCTATCCATGATAAAAGTGCATCTATCCATGATAAAAGTGCATCTATCCATGATAAAAGTGCATCTATCCATGATAAAAGTGCATCTATCCATGATAAAAGTGCATCTATCCATGATTAAAGTGCATCTATCCATGATAAAAGTGCATCTATCCATGATAAAAGTGCATCTATCCATGATTAAAGTGCATCTGTCCATGATAAAAGTGCATCTATCCATGATTAAAGTGTATCTATCCATGATAAAAGTGCATCTATCCATGATAAAAGTGCATCTATCCATGATAAAAGTGCATCTATCCATGATAAAAGTGCATCTATCCATGATTAAAGTGCATCTATCCATGATAAAAGTGCATCTATCCATGATAAAAGTGCATCTATCCATGATAAAAGTGCATCTATCCATGATAAAAGTGCATCTATCCATGATAAAAGTGCATCTATCCATGATTAAAGTGCATCTATCCATGATTAAAGTGCATCTATCCATGATTAAAGTGCATCTATCCATGATAAAAGTGCATCTATCCATGATAAAAGTGCATCTATCCATGATAAAAGTGCATCTATCCATGATTAAAGCGCATCTATCCATGATAAAAGTGCATCTATCCATGATTAAAGTGCATCTATCCATGATAAAAGTGCATCTATCCATGATAAAAGTGCATCTATCCATGATTAAAGTGCATCTATCCATGATAAAAGTGCATCTATCCATGATAAAAGTGCATCTATCCATGATTAAAGTGCATCTATCCATGATAAAAGTGCATCTATCCATGATAAAAGTGCATCTATCCATGATTAAAGTGCATCTGTCCATGATAAAAGTGCATCTATCCATGATTAAAGTGTATCTATCCATGATAAAAGTGCATCTATCCATGATAAAAGTGCATCTATCCATGATAAAAGTGCATCTATCCATGATAAAAGTGCATCTATCCATGATTAAAGTGCATCTATCCATGATAAAAGTGCATCTATCCATGATAAAAGTGCATCTATCCATGATAAAAGTGCATCTATCCATGATAAAAGTGCATCTATCCATGATAAAAGTGCATCTATCCATGATAAAAGTGCATCTATCCATGATTAAAGTGCATCTATCCATGATTAAAGTGCATCTATCCATGATTAAAGTGCATCTATCCATGATAAAAGTGCATCTATCCATGATAAAAGTGCATCTATCCATGATTAAAGTGCATCTATCCATGATAAAAGTGCATCTATCCATGATAAAAGTGCATCTATCCATGATAAAAGTGCATCTATCCATGATAAAAGTGCATCTATCCATGATTAAAGTGCATCTATCCATGATAAAAGTGCATCTATCCATGATAAAAGTGCATCTATCCATGATAAAAGTGCATCTATCCATGATAAAAGTGCATCTATCCATGATAAAAGTGCATCTATCCATGATTAAAGCGCATCTATCCATGATAAAAGTGCATCTATCCATGATTAAAGTGCATCTATCCATGATAAAAGTGCATCTATCCATGATAAAAGTGCATCTATCCATGATTAAAGTGCATCTATCCATGATTAAAGTGCATCTATCCATGATAAAAGTGCATCTATCCATGATTAAAGTGCATCTATCCATGATAAAAGTGCATCTATCCATGATAAAAGTGCATCTATCCATGATAAAAGTGCATCTATCCATGATAAAAGTGCATCTATCCATGATAAAAGTGCATCTATCCATGATTAAAGCGCATCTATCCATGATAAAAGTGCATCTATCCATGATTAAAGTGCATCTATCCATGATAAAAGTGCATCTATCCATGATAAAAGTGCATCTATCCATGATTAAAGTGCATCTATCCATGATTAAAGTGCATCTATCCATGATAAAAGTGCATCTATCCATGATAAAAGTGCATCTATCCATGATTAAAGTGCATCTATCCATGATAAAAGTGCATCTATCCATGATTAAAGTGCATCTATCCATGATTAAAGTGCATCTATCCATGATAAAAGTGCATCTATCCATGATAAAAGTGCATCTATCCATGATTAAAGTGCATCTATCCATGATAAAAGTGCATCTATCCATGATAAAAGTGCATCTATCCATGATTAAAGTGCATCTATCCATGATAAAAGTGCATCTATCCATGATAAAAGTGCTCCACACGGCTCTGAGAAAATAATAAAGGCCTTCTGAAGTGAATCGATGCGTTCGTGTAAGAAAAATATTCATATTTAAAACTTTATCGACTAAAACAACTAGCTTCCGGCAGACGGCCAGGACATTTTTTTTTATATATATAACTCCGATTTTAATATAACTCTGTATTTGTCTGAAAGAAGAAAGTCATATACACCTAGGATGGCTTGAGGGCGAGTAAATCATGGGGTAATTTTCATTTTTGGGTGAACTATCCCACTATTAGAGGGGAAAAGTACTGTATTGTCTCCTATGCCCACAAGAGGGATTGAGCGGGCGCAATGAGCCAATATAAACCAAATCAAGCATCGCACCTATTATTGAAATGAAAAAACATTCACTTTTTAAAGTGCATTAACTTTTGAAACAATTGTTCTTAAATAAAATATAATTTCCTTAATGTGTATGCAAGAAAAATGTAGTTACAACAGTGTGTAAAACTGTGTAAGTGCATCAGTAACCTGAGAAAACACGTTTCTTGCATTCGAATGTGCTGTTTTTTATTTTTATTCAACGAATATTCGAAATTCAAATTTTTATTTGACAGCGCTAGCCAACAGTCATTTACATTCAATCATTTATCAGACGGTCTTATCCAAAGCACTTACACACGAGGAGAGCAATAGAAGTGTCACTTGCAGTGTGTATTGTGTTGTGTGTAATGCATGTTTACCTGAGAACAGAGCTGTGGCCTCTTTAATGGGCTCCGGGACGATCACTGCGCTGCTGTCCGCACCCTAGACCACACACACACAATGTGACGCGTGTCAAGATGCTTTTTTTGAGCCACCAAACACTGTTGTCGTACAAATGAACGGCCAGACCACATTAAAAGTGTTGTTTTCTGTTAGAGCGGTGTCGTGTTAGTTAATAAACGCCTCTAAGTTAATAAAAGCCAAACCAATCTGTGTTCCTGTAATCTCCTATCATCACTGTAAAGCAGCTTTGAGCATATCAGACACTGACTCTTCAGTGTTAGACACCAGTTCTCCAGAAAACACCTGCTCTTAAAAAAAAACTTAAATATAATTTATTCTGAAGCAATATTCTCATTCTCATGGATCTTTGTTCAATCAGCTTTGATATATTAATATAATTAGAATATAGTATATAATTATTTTATTCTTCCAAAAAGTTGTATGATGAGTTTCTGTGAGGATTCCCAGGACAGGATGTGTGTGTCGTGTGCGAGTGTGTAGATGGTCTGCCGTCTGACCTCAGCGTCGGGCCGTGACATCGTCTGGATGGTGCTGAGGTCCTGCTCCAGTTTCAGGATCAGGTCTTTCTGATCAGCACTGGTCTTCACCGCTGCAGAGAACTCCAGCTGTAGAGACGCGTACCGGCCTGAACACACACACACACACACACACACACACACACATCAGTGTGTGTACCGTCTCCTATCGCAACAGCTTACCAGTCAAGAAGATCAACCTTCACAAGACTCTAACCTTTACATCTTCAGCTTGTGGTTCTCCACCACAGCCACTGTCTGCCTCTTAGCGCTATTAGCCCTAGCCTGTGCCATGTCTGCTTCTGTGCTGCGTTCAACACGCATCTTCATATACCGGCTGTGCAGAAACCCATGAGCTTCCGTCAGCATTTGAGCGCTTCGTTTGAACTGCCGTTTCCATCCAGCAGTTTTGATGCGATATCCCAAAGTGCACATTGAAACAGGTGGATAGCTTAAGACATTACTGAACACACTCGCTCCCTTGATAACCCTGTTTCCACTGCCCATGACATCCACACCCTTTATAACTAGACTTGTCCTATCCACACACTCGACTCCCTGGTTTACTCCTGCACTGCTGGCCATCTCTATAGGAAAACCGGCTTAACCGCGCACTTATCGGTTCACATGAACCATTTCCAGTCATACCAGTCAGCACGCTCAGTTCACTACTCTACTCCTGTTAGCAATGCATCCTCTCGACCCAAAACATTGCTTTGCATTGCCAGTAACCTCACCAACCCTCCTGTCCCTGACATGAGAAACTCTCTGGGAGCTCTGGGAGTCGTTTTTACACTTCTTCCTAAATGACATATATGTAGTATAATATCGCAGGACTTCCCCACTGCTTCACACCTGGTACTTTCACTGACTTGGCCTCCTTCTTCTGGCTGTTGACTCTGGCTTCATCTGTCTCCTAATGCTCATAGACCTGTCCTCTGCATTTGACACCATTTCTCATAGTTTCATTGCTATGCAGACACACACTCAACTTTACATTTGTTCTCACGATAGAGGGTGTGTGTGTGTGACGTTACCCTAGGCCGGAGTGACTGCGGTTACACACAATGAGTGGCAAAAACACTGGGCGGCAGCATTGGTTTTCATGCCGCGAAAAACACACAAAACGCATCTAAAACAGGAAAGAGCTTTGAGATTGACTGTACAAAATACAAATAGATTTGACAAGAAATCTGAGGTATATTTTTACAGACTTCTGAAAGCTACAGAACAGAGAAGCAAATGGATCGCTGCAATTCACGGAAACAACTGGATCCAGGCAGCGAAAGGTGAATTTGCCGTTCTCATTTTGTGTCAATATGCTGAATTTAGGGGAAAAATCATACCCTATATATTATATATTGTATTGTTATAGCCTAGAAATTTAGATGCAACCTAGCGGCAGCAAACTTTATTTTGCAGCCAGTGTCGTCTAGCAACTGTCCGTTGGCTTTCGAGCTGGAAAAACCAAACTCTAGTCAGGCCAATCACATCGTGTGTAGAGTCGGCGGGCGGGCTTAACACAATGACTGCAGAGTTGCAACGGTTCTCTGCCACTTGAAAACACAGAACGGCGAACAGCGGTCTTTCCAATCGGCTTTGGCCGCGACTCTGGAGGACTTGGAGTTAAGCTTCTCTTTGAGAAAAGAACAAAGAACGCCACTTAAGTCATTCTTAAAAAAGAAAGATGTGTTCGTAGTTTTGCCGAAAGTTTAATCTGTCAACTAGCTCTGCTGGTGGGAAAACGCTCTGGTTGGGTGTAGCGCTATCCTATTGCGTGCGGAGGGAATCTGAAAGACGACCGTTTATCCGCCCCTCGGATTGAGCCCTGCCAATGGGGAGTTCCCAGACCCAACATCTTGATGTGAGTCAGGCTTGCCAGGCTAGTATTGCTATATATTGTATTGACAACTCATCAATTACATTTTTACCATCATATATTCTGCATAATTGGATGTTTTTAAATAAACACTGACAAAAAAACGATACAAGTTTTAAGACTGGACGATATGATGATATATATAGCATTGATATGAGTTAAACATGGATTTAGACCTATATTGTATTTATATAAAGCGTTCACAGGCAAATTTGCTTTATGTATTTCCCCGGCGTCGAAATCAGGCTCATATAAATTTAAGGAAACAGGATTCCTGCTGCATGTCAATATCACTGGATCACTGGTAGGTTGTAAGGAACACTTTATCGAGTCCAACATTTAGTTTAAACTGCTAATCACTTGCTTTACTCTCGTTTTCACAGTTTCTCCTATGAAAATCCAGTCACTCAGCAGCTCTTCTGCCACTCAGTCCGGCTGAGGGAAAGTGACGTCACTGCATTCCCTCTATTCTGCCCCTTTCCCCACTTTAAATACCCCACAGACTCACTGCTCAGCTCAGTGCTAGCGATGCGCAGAGACGCGTTCTCCGACTGAAGGCCTCGGTTCTTCTCCAGCAGCAGCACCTCCAACGGCTTGCATGAATCCTGCGAGAGACCAGCACATCAACACCTCCAACAACACACTGAAACACACAGAAGACTGTGTTTACCTGCACTGTGGCGCTGTCACACGGCCCGAACTCCATCGACTTCAGGATGCTGTCGATAACAATCGGAGCCGGTCAGTAAGAGGCAACCAGGAGCCAATCGAATCTAGTCTTTCTGACAGCCGTACTTCAGCCACGATTAAATACAACATACAACATGTTCATGGACTCGAGCACTCAGACTGGGCATGATCTTGACTTGAACTCATGACTTACAATTTGCGCCAATAATTAAAGAAATGTATAAAAAAATATATATCAGAAAGTGCAGATATTTCTTTAATTGTGGTTTACCCGTCAATAACTCGAGTAGACAAATCGATTAAAATGGCCAATAATGTTTCCACGGCCAAGCGTGGACTCTCACCTGAGCTCTTTCTTCACCTCCTCATAGTCCATCTGCGTCTGCAGCTTCTCCTCCAGTTGCTGGAAGAGATGAAGAGACCGTGATGAAGACACATGTACAGCACTGGAGCTCAATCACACACACTATGGAATTTATATTGTGCCATAATTAAACAAACAAATCCAGCATTTCAACAAACTTGATCTGCATTGCAAAGGAAAACTCGATTCGCAAACAAACAGAAAGCGATGTGCAAATACAAAGGTCAATTTGAGCGAGAATGCAGTGGAGTAACACATGCATTGTGTTTTACAAATATAAATAAATGAGCCTAGATAATATTTGACAAATAAATAAAAACCATCCTACAAATTGCATGTAACCTTTGAACAAATACCAAATCTAGTGCATACAAATGCAATATGTCTGTTATGATTGTGAGACACTTGGCTCTCTCGGCTCGATTTTCTCACAAATGCAGTTGAGCAACTTCCTCTTCTAGAACAGTAGATGGCGCTAAGCTAGGGGATTGATTTAGCACTAGTCCCCCGGGAGAAGCACTGATTTGAAACGTGCTTGCCTTTGCCTACAGCTGAGGGAAATGAGCGGTGAACAGGTGTGTTTACTGTATCTTACTGTATCTATAATTAACCTTTTTGAGGTTTTCTTTTGCAAAATGTTATTACATATCTAGACAGAAATCCACATTAGCACTTAGTAGCACTTCACTCTCTCTAGGATAGGGGAATCTATAAGCTGAAAGCTCTGCCATCTTATGTTGCTTTTTTACAAATTGGTCGCACTCCAGAGCCCTGCACCTTCTAGATCAAACCCCTTCACGACAGCGGCCATATCGTATTCCTGAGAGGCTGGCGGGACCCTGAAGGCGGAGATCGAGACGGTGCTGGAGTTGGGAGGTACTGAACCCTTCAAAAGTGAGTGGAGCAGCCCAATTGTTATCATCCCGAAGAAAGACGACACCTTACGCTTCTGCGTTGACTTCATAAAGCTGAATGCTCAGTCAAGATTTGATGCATATCCAATGCCACGCATTGACGATCTTCCGGAGAGGATCGGCCAAGCCAGGTACATTACAACCTTGGACTTATGGAAAGGGTATTGGCAAGTACCCCTGAAGGGGGCATCCAGACCCTATACTGCATTCTGGACCACGCTGGGGCTATATCAGTTTACAGTCCTACCGTTCGGGCTGCATGGGACACACGCAACGGTGTGACCTGGGAGGACCATCTTCTACACCTCAAAAAGACCCTAGGCAAGATCCAAGAGGCTGGCCTGTCTTTGAACGTGGCTAAATGCTAAACTACCTCGGTTACCACCTGGGAAATGGAGAGCATTTGGACAAGGTAGAAGCTGTTCGGCGCAGCCCAAGACCGAAGACAAAGAAGGAGGTCCGATCCTTCTTGGGACCGGTGGGGTGGTATCGACGCTTTGACCCCAACTTCTCTTCCACCGCAGTCCCTGAACACCAAGAAGCTGATTATCTGGACTGAGGAGTGTGAAGCAGCCTTCAACACACTGAAGGAGCCCAGTCCTCAAAAGTCCAGATTTCACAAAGGAGTTCATCGTTCAGGTCGATGCCTCTGCTGTGGGAATGGGAGCAGTCCCGGCCCAGGTAGATGCGGGTGAAGGGAGGCCCATTGCGTTCCTGAGCAGGAAGTTGCTGCCAAGAGAAACCCGGTACTCCACAGTGGAGAAGGGCGGTCTGGCACTCAAGAGGACCTTGCAGAGCCTCCGCTACTCCCTGCTGGGGAGAGTTTACCAGTTTCGCCGGACAGCAGGTCTGCGAAGAAGACCCGATGTCTCACAGGCACAGTTGACTTCCATAGTATTTTTTCACAGTATTCCTACTATGGAAGTCAATGGTGCCCCATCAACTGTTTGGTTACTGACATTAGGGGTGTCGCAATATACCGGTATTGACTATAATCGTGATATTCAAAGCTTGAAATATCGACATCGTGTTAATTTAGAGTGTGGCAATATACCGGTATTGGCGATAACCACGATGTTTATAATGAGTAGGACTTTTATGATAACATGACACGTATACTCCAGCGACAGTTGAGGTGGCAGTATTGCACCCGCTGACATCTATCAAATGAGAAGAAGACGCAGTGCGCGCCCGCGCAGCCACTCTGGTATGGGAGTTCTTCGGCTTCAAAGAAAACCGCACTTTAAAGGGGGTCGCACACCGGACGAGAAGCGCAGAGAATTCTTTAAAATTCGAACACATTATTTTCTAGGAGTTTACACACACCACCTGCACCATTCGGCGTCTGTCCGCGATGCCCAGCAATGGCTCGGATTTTCAGGTGAGATTCTCAAATCATTCAGTAAACGGATGCCCAATTAAGCCCAATCTGCAGAATCTGTAGCCACCAACCTTTTTACCCATCTCCGTGTCCATCACACTGCGGATTACGCTATTTTACAGAGTAAATTGCGATTATTTTACTAGTCATGGAATGGGAAATGTGACATTAACCTGTTAACAGCGGGTTTTTGTTTTCATATGTTTAAATAAAGGGTGATTATTAAGTACCCCGTTTTCTTTACTCGTCTTATTTTTGTATTTTTGTGTTTGCACTTGATTTGTTTTGTTCAAATCTGCATGACTTGCACCGGCGCAACAATAGGTTTAAGAGCTTTTCAGTTCTTCAGGAAACATTCAGACAGTGTTTCGCTCCAGTTTGAAACCCGATATACTTCACATGCTTGTCTTACTTCACAAAAATGTGCATTCAAATATAAGAACGCAAGAAGTAAAAATGCAAAAAAAGAAAAATTAAATAAAGTAAAAATTAATTTGACTGATTTGACATTTTTTCCCCCAAGGTTTCTATAGATATCGCGATATATTGATATCGTGAATTATTTTGGCCACAATAACCGTGGTGTGAAAAATCTAACATCGTGACAGCCCTAACTGACATTCTTCAAAATATCTTCTTTTTTGTTCAACAGAAGAAAGAAACTCATACAGGTTTGGAAACACATGGGGGTGAGTACATTTATTACAATTTTTGGGTGAACCGTCCCTGTAACCCAGCAGTGCACATGAGTGTGTGTTGCGCACCTGGAGCGCGGTGGTCTTGTCCTGGAGCTGCTGCTGCAGTCGGCTGGAGTGTGTGTCGGATCTCTCTCTGAGCGAGGACAGGCTGGCCTGCAGTCTCTGAACATCCTCCACCAGCTGCAGCATCTCACGCTCCTTCGCACTGAGCTCCGCCTCCACACTGGAGCGCGGCACCAGCTCCGCACACTCGTCCTGCTGAACACACACCACAATACTGAGCATCGTATGAACACACACACACACACACACACACAGTGGGTTCAGAGGTTTCCTGTGAATGTGCTGCGGTGAATGAGGTGAACGCTGAACAACACTGACATTAGCATTTCTAAGTCAACAACAGGGTTTTTCCTGCATTGAAAATAATTTGGCAGCTGCCAAAATGAATCTTTGTATTTGATCATTTACTGTGAAGATACCTGCTGTCCTGCAGTGTAAGCGCACTGTGAAGAGCATCAAATGTTTATATTTGCAACATGTGTCCGCAGTGTTGAGCTTTGTAGCCATTCAGGCATATCTCTTGAGCGCATGAACGCAGTGGCCAATCAGATGTGTTTGCTAGTCAGATTCCAGTTTGAGGGTTATAATGAAAGGATTTGCGAGTATGCAGAACTCAAAGTATAAACACACTGTCAATAAAAGATTCATAGCACAGCTTCATTGATTATAACTTTTTTGCTTGTATCTTGCGTTGTGATTGACCGCTTCAGTGATTATAATAGCAGCGATCTTTGCTCGCTTTATCCACCTTATTTTTCAAGCGGAAGTAAGGAGTTTTCTGTGAATGTGCGAGACTACAAACCAGCGTGTTTATAATTAAGACACTACATTAAAATAATATAGTAAGACATTACAGTTTGCAATATCAAGCAGAATAAAGAGCTTTTTTGTACAGCTAAAAATAACTGGAAGCGAATGACAGCGGAAGCCAGACACATTAAAATTACAAATGGTGCGTAAATTACAAAATTACGCGCATGTGCTTCCTCTGAAAAATGAGGTGTATAATAGTGCACACTTTTCATGCTGTTAACTACACATTGCAAACTTTCTGGCCTGACAATCGTATTAAAATGCACAATTGAGTCTGATTCACAGTGATAACTATAGCAATGGACGTAAAAAAAAATGAATCTAAAACTGTTCTACCATACCGCTGGGCATTTTGAGATGGCCTAAGCTTACAAGAAATATGCACAAGAATATTTTAAAATACCCGTCTTAAAGAGCATTCACTCAAACGCAGTCAGTTATGTCACAGGTGAATGTAAACAGATGGGAAAGACATCAGATGTGTAACAGTGTATTAGATCAGTGCATTCGCTCTTAAAGTGACAGTAGCCTTTTATTCCGGCTGCTGTGTGTCATGTTAATCAAACAGAGAAAATTACTCACTTCTGTTGACTGAATAACTTTAATAAGAATCAATGTGTGTTTAATTTATACAGTGAGGAATATGTAGGGTGTTCACTTTATTCACTATTATTTCTTAGTTTATGACTGACTGTCTTCAATAAGCTTGAGATCCTTTTACTTGTATTAGTTAGACGAGTGCGAGTTTTTACTCCTGTATCAAAAATGTTATCAGGAAATGTGACATTTCAATGGCATCTGAAAGTATGGTGTCGTAACAATGTTATTTTCCTCAAGAATAGCTATAAACATTTTAGGAGGAGCTTTGACAATCCAGAGCCACCGAATGACGGATACGAACATTTCGGACTCAGTGTGCGAGGACCTTTACACGGGAGTTTGGAGAACACAAAGCGGCTTTCAGGCTGAAATAACCAACTAGGGCTGCAACGACAATAAAAATTTGTCGACAAATATCTTTGTTGTCGAGTAGTCGTTTGATCGCTAGTCCCGAGGTAAATAGCGTTCGTCAGCTCCAGTTTGTATCCAGCCTCTCACGGAGACTTCAGATGCTCCAACACCTGCGATGAGACGACTCGACGCCTGTGAAGAGACGACTCGACGCCTGTGAAGAGACGACTCAACGCCGGCGATATGTTATGCCCTAAATTAATACATGTTGATTAACTAACTATATTCTTCTATGTACATTTCTGAAATGCACTTTCTGTAAAGCTGCTTTGAAACAATATGTATTGTGAAAAGCGCTATACAAATAAATTTGAATTGAATTGAATTGAATTGAATCTCACGTGACCTAATGTAAGGGCCTGCAATCCTGTGATTTGACCGCTACGGCGCTGTAGCGCTAGTGTAGTGCAGCCCTTACAAATGCTATTGCGGTAGAAGAGAAAACAGCGCGAATTATGACAGTGCAAACGAATCCGAACTAGCAAGGTTTAGGTTTGGGAAAGTTTCACAAAACTTCAAATCAAGAATGCTGTCGTGTGCAATTTTCACGGGAGCACAACATGCATGTTGGAGTGCAAGAGGAAACATCCCGGCAAAAGAGGAGCCGGTGAGAAGTGAGTGTTCTCCCGCTGGAGCTTACTAACCAGCGGTAAATCTCTCTTTATTAGAGAATGCAATACTACTAATAATAGTAATAATATTATCAATAGTAATATAATTACAGTAATGTGATGACTTATTTTGCATAGAATAAAGCTTGATCGAGCTTAGGAGTCAGGGCTGTTTTTATTATTTTAACACTATTAGTATATTAGGTATTATTATAGTCTTATCACTTGCCTGTATTTTGTTCAATAATCATGAAGACTTACAAAACGAGATGTTATATCCTTCCTATGAGATAGGAAGAATATCATGGCAGTTACTATCATACTATAAATTAAAAGGTGAATGAGAACGTCTCTGTCAGCTCAATTGTCATGTAAAAAAAGATTGTAATTTTATAATTATAATAATTGTTTGCAGATTAATATTTTACCATTCTTTGTGTCCTGAAGTAAATGTCCCTTTTTCTGTTTCAGTTCTAAGAAAAGCAGTGGGCCTATTAAACAATGCTTAGAGAGCATTTGTGTGTGATTTGAGTTGGACCGAAATCTGAAAACTTAAAGAGAATGACCTGTTTAGTTGGCTCAAAGTTCATTAAAACAACTATTTCAAAAGCTGAAGTGATTTTCTTTTTTTATATTATAGTTAGAATATGTATAACTCAATGTTTTAACTAATTGGAAAAGCTGAATAATCGTTCCAAACTTACTGATTAGTCTGCGAAATAATCGACGATTAGTCGATTAGTCGTTCTAATAATCGTTAGATTAATCGATTATCAAAATAATCGTTTGTTGCAGCCCTATAACCAACAGGAGGAAGGTTTGTTTGACTCAGAACTATGCTTTTATGTTGATGGCGGTGTTTATCTGGTCATGTGGTAACAGTGGATGTGAAGACAGCATGTGGAGTATGCATGAGTGTTATATGGTGAGCTGGTACCGTGTACGGCGTGTTGTCCGTGCGGGTCGGCGCTTGTGTGGATCTGATCTGCTCTCTCAGAGCTTCAGCCTCTCTCTCAGCAGCATCTGCTCTCTGCAGGAAACACCATCACACCAGTTAACCACTCCACCAGACTCTCAGCCTGGCTCACACTTAACGGCGCAAAATGAACCTTTGGTCTAATAACACATTGGTACCGTGTACAGACAGTTTAATAAGAAGATACTTTATAAAGAAGACAGTCTCCACCAGTCGAACCACGAACGCCGTGCCAAGTGAGCTGGTCGATCGGAATTACGTTTGTGAAATCTAATTACATGGAAATGCATGAATTATATCTGTTTATTAAAATATATGGGTGACTAACTATAAGGGAAGAAGGGCTTCAAGTGAGAATCCAAGTCACAGTTCAGCTCACTCAGCACGGCGTTCGCGGTTCGACTGGTCGAGACTGCTCTCCAAGATGGCTACCGCCTGTATACGTGAAGTGGACTGTCTTTATAAAGTATCTTCTTATTAAATGGTCTGTACACTTACACAGTTCTCAATGCTTCGGTTTGCATGTAGGGACCCTCATTACGCTACAGTGGTGTTAACTAGCGATTTATTTTTACTTATTCTATGCCCTACTGGCGTTATACGCTAAACAGTTTTTAGAGATAAAACTCTTTACATTCGATTATCATGAAAACAAATCCCAGAGAACGGTCGACCAATGTGTTATTATTAGACCAAAGGTTCATTTTGCGCCGGAGTTGTCCTTTAAGGAGAATCTTTGCAGATTTTCTTCCCTCAGATATTAAACATGCACACACTACAAGATTTGAAAACCGCGGCGCATCACACACTACACAATGATCTTAAGATGATCGTGCAGATCGGAAGAGGAAAAGCGGATGTAAACAAAATGGAAATCTGTGTTTAATGGGCCTAAAACTGCTGTAGTGTGTGTGAGCCGGGCATTAGAGGATCTGCACTGTAACACACGCATGACTGCACCTGATTGGCTCGCTCCACATCCGTCATCACCATGTCAATCTCATCAGCCCTGAGAAACACACACATCCATCATGACACACACACGTACAGATGTGCTGTAATGCAGCACACACTCTGAAACAGCTGATATATGTAATATATGGACAATGGTCTAATGTTTAACAAACATGTTTTCATTACTTCAGTGAGCTCATTGTTTCTGCCTTAAATTGTTTAAATTAATACATTTTTCGCTAACTGTGATCTTGTATATGTTCATTTCTGAAATGCATAACTTAGACAGGGTCCTCTGATAACAGATCACTCTAGATTGTGGACTATGAAAATAGTCGTGCTGTGAATGTTTGTGAGTAAACCCTGATCTATTTTACTTTACAGAACTCTCAAAAGAACAGCATTTATTTACATTATAAATAATGTTTATATAAATATTTACCGTCACTCTCTTTCAATTGAATGCGTCCTTGATGAATAAAGGTATTGATTTCTTTCAAAAGCTACTGGCCCTAAACTTCAGTGTTGTACTTGTAGTACTTCGCTTGATGAATACATGAATATGAATGATGATCCGCGCATGAAGTAGTTTAACACACAAACACACACTTACTTTGCAGTCGACTCTTCGTCATATTTAGTCTTCAGGTAAAAAAGCTCCGTCTGAGTGCGTTCAAGAGCTGCAGACACACAACATCATGATGAGCTATATAATAATGCAGAGGATTTCATATCTCCAGCACGCTCACACACACACAACTCACAGTCACATACACACACACACTGACAGACACACACACACACACACACACACTGACAGACACACACACACACACACACACACTGACAGACTCAGACACAGTCACACACACACACTGACAGACACACACACACACACTGACAGACTCAGACACAGTCACACACACACACACACACTGACAGACACACACACTGACAGACTCAGACTCACACACACACACACACACTGACAGACACACACACACACACACACACACACACACACACACAGACAGACACACACACTGACAGACACACAGACACACACACACTCAGACACACACACTCAGACACACTCACACTCAGACACACACACACACACACTCAGACACACACACACACTCAGACACATATGGCGTTATTATCCTGTCCAATGTCGAGAGCGCATTATTGTAGCGCGAAAGAACATTAATATTATGCGCGAGCGTGAATCTCTCTGCTCGCGCGCGGAATATGATGTGCGCGAGCGTGAATCTCTCTGCTCGCGCGCGGAATATGATATGCCCAGCGCGAATCTCTCTGCTCGCGCGCGGGAACTGGGCGCGCGCTCTCAGATACACTTCTCTTGTAAGAATTCTCTCTCTGGGCTGATTGGGCTCGCTGCCTTGCTCAGAGAATATGCCTGCACTTAAAACGTGTTCAGTGCAATCGCGAATTGCTCCTCTTCCCCAGCTAACAATTTTAGGTTCTAAGAACGTTTTCATAACGTTCCCATTAAGTTATAAAAACGTTATTTCTGAATGTTCTAGGGAATTTCAAAAAGTCCAGTTTTTTAGACGTTGTATTAACGTTATTTCTTGGTTATAAGACCGTTCAATTCTCCCATTATGTAAACAGTATTAATGTTATTTCCTGGTTATAATAACGTTAGAACGTTCAATTCTCCCTTTATATAAACGTTGTATTAACGTTCTTGCTTGGTTATAAGAAGTTATTCAAACGTTCAATTCTCCCATTATATAAACGTTCTCTTAATGTTTTTCGAAGATAATGAAAAACGTTTCATTCATAACAAGGTAGCCTATAATAGGCCTATATGAAGAACCTAAAACAAGAACTTTCAGATTTTAAAATTAAGATAAAAATTTTAAAAAAGACCCATGAATCATGTCTATAATATGTGTAATGTAGTCCACTGAAGTCGAGTTGAATTGAACCCAAGTAGGCCTATAGTTTATTCCAATAAACCGATTTGGGTTGAAGTGACCATATGAAATTAACATGAACATAAACTTGGAAATTGTTGTATAAATGAGCTATATAAATTAAATTAACTTTAACTTGTGGATGTCATTGGTTGTTTTTGGTCATAATCCTTGTCCTTGTGTTCCCATTGTCTCTTGTCTAGCTTTGTTCCCTGTAGGCAACCATTGTTGGTGATTCTATGTTTAGTCCAAGTTTATGTTCATGTTAATTTCATATGGTCACTTCAACCCAAATCGGTTTACTGGAATAAACTATAGGCCTACTTCGGTTCAATTCAACTCGACTTCAGTGGACTACATTACACATATTGTAGACATGATTCATGGGTCTTTTTTTTTTTAATTTTAGGTTCTTCATATAGCCTAGGCCTATTATATAGGCTACCTTGTTATATAAAAAACATTAAGAAAGGTTTTAATAATTATTAAAACATTTCTTAATGTTTTTTTTTTTATTGAATGAAACGTTTTTCATTATCTTAGAAAAACATTAAGAGAAGGTTTATATAATGGGAGAATTGAACGTTTGAATAACGTTCTTATAACCAAACAAGAACGTTAATACAACGTTTATATAAAGGGAGAATTGAACGTTCTTATAACCAAGAAATAACGTTAATACAACGTCTAAAAAACTGGACTTTTTGAAATTCCCTAGAACATTCAGAAATAACGTTTTTATAACTTAATGGGAACGTTATGAAAACGTTCTTATAACCTAAAATTGTTAGCTGGGGAAGAGGAGCAATTCGCGATTGCACTGAACACGTTTTAAGTGCAGGCATATTCTCTGAGCAAGGCAGCGAGCCCAATCAGCCCAGAGAGAGAACTCTTACAAGAGAAGTGTATCTGAGAGCGCGTGCCCAGTTCCCGCGCGCGAGCAGAGAGATTTGCGCTGGGCACATCATATTCCGCGCGCGAGCAGAGAGATTCACGCTCGCGCATAATATTAATGTACTTTCGCGCTACAATAATGCGCTCTCGACATCTGACAGGATAATAACGCCATAGACACACACTCAGACACACACACTCAGACACACACACACACACACCTGTCTGCAGGCTCTGAGCTTTGAGTTCAGTTTCCTGTAGTTTACACAGCAGAGACTCATGTGACTCCTGGAACTTCCTGTTGGACACAGACATGACAGGATCCAAACTCATGAACACAGAACTAATAATATCTAACACACAGCTGAACGGGACAATGGCAGTCTTCAGGGTTACTAGAGCAGGACAGTTGATGAGGACTGGAGTTAAACATTTCAATAATGACAACTCGCACAAACTGACACACACACAAACTGACACACACACAAACTGACACACACACACACACACACACAGAGTGGCAGAGGAGAAATACCAGATCATTCTTCTGCATGAAATGTGTGTTGTTGGAGTGTTTTCCTGCTCTGATGACAGTAAAGTCAAGTGATGTACAGACCGGCTCTCACACACACACACACACACACACACACACACACACACGTGCGACGGGAACTGACCTCTCCTTCTCGGCGTAGTCTTTATGGATCTGCTGCTGTTTCTCCAGGGCCAGACTCTCCGCCTGGTTCCTCACGCTCTGCTCATATTCCCTGATCTTCTCCTTCAGGGTCTTAATGGTGACCTCTACACACACACACACACACACACGGCACATATCAACCACACTGTACAAGCTCTCAGGACACACACATCACTGTGAAGCTGTGACACACACACTCAAACATGTTTTTTTCTAGAATGAGTTCGATACATAGACTGCAAAAAAATACCGGTATTTTCATTGCATTTTCACTTATTATTTTTTTATTGGGAAAAGAAACCAAAGGAATATGAATAATATTACTTGGCTTAATTTGTTTAGTAAATGTTTCCTTTACTCATTTTCATTCTTAAAGGGGTCATATAATGGTACATGCACTTTTACAAGTTGATTGTACTGAAATGTGTGTTGGCAGTGCCTGTACACAACCATCATATAATGATAAAAATCCATCCAGTGGTTTTGTTTTAATCTCCTTATATGTTTTCCCCTGCCTTAAAGGAGAACTCCGGCGCAAAATGAACCTTTGGTCTAATTACACATTGTTACCTAGTCAACCGTTATCTGAGATTTGTTTTCATGATTATCGAATGTAAATAGTTTTATCTCTAAAAACAGTTTAGCCTATAAAGCTAGTATAACGCTAGTATATTGGGCATAGTGTAATGACAAATAAAAATCGCTTGTTAATACCACTAACAAGGCTGAAAATAGCCCCACACTAACACGGTAGCATAATGAGGGTCCCTACCTTCAAACCGAAGCATTGAGAACTTGGTAAGTGTACAGACAGTTTAATAAGAAGATATTTTAAACATACAGTCAACTTCGCGTATACAGGCAGAAGCCATCTTTGAAAAACAGTCTCTACCAGTCGATCTACGAACGCCGATCCAAGCCTGCTGTTCGCGCTCACCTTATCACAACTTATAGCTCGTTCACATCTCACCAGCGCACTTGGATCGGCGTTCGTAGATCGACTGGTAGAGACTGTTTTTCAAAGATGGCTTCTACCTGTATACGCGAAGTTGACTGTATGTATAAAATATCTTCTTATTAAACTGTCTGGACACTGACAAAGTTCTCAATGCTTCGGTTTGAAGGTAGGGACCCTCATTATGCTACCGTGTTAGTGTGGGGCTATTTTCAGCCTTGTTAGTGGTATTAACAAGCGATTTTTATTTGTCATTACACTATGCCCAATATACTAGCGTTATACTAGCTTTATAGGCTAAACTGTTTTTAGAGATAAAACTATTTACATTCGATAATCATGAAAACAAATCTCAGATAACGGTTGACTAGGTAACAATGTGTAATTAGACCAAAGGTTCATTTTGCGCCGGAGTTCTCCTTTAAATCGAGCCGTTCGACCGTGTGACGTCACACGCTCGGAAGCCCCTCCCACGATTGTTGATTGACAGCAGCGTTTCAACACAGACCCGCCCTCGCTCGTGAGCCAGCTGTCAATCATAGTCTGCGCGGACCGGCGCGGTCATTGTTGATATGCTGGAGCACTGTCTATGAGCAGAATGGCGTCTAAGCGATTGTGGTGTTCTGTTCTTGGGTGTAATAACGAACACAGTCATTTTAATGTTCCTAAATCCGAACCGCTGAAGACGCAGTGGCTGAGTTTGTTTTCGAAGGGAATATTCCCCACGAGCAACGTCAATGCTCTCATGTTTGCGCGAATCATTTCTCAGCAGACTGCTTTATAAACGAGGGTCAGTATAAAGCTGGATTTGCTAAGAAGCTGCTCCTGAATAAAGGATCGGTACCAGATATTCGTGTTCCTGCTGAATCTCCAGAAGAACTGAAGTGAGTGTAACGTTTTATTAAACTTTATATTAATATATTAATCTTTGCAAATCGCTAGCTGCATGCTTCACAATGAATGCGTCTTAGGTTTACACTCAGGGTACATTATGGCATGTTTTCTATGTATGACGTTCTCAATATAATTCATAATCCCCCGTTTATAATGAACAACGTGTTATGGTTATTGTGTTATTGTGTTACAAACGGTGTACGCACAGAACAGAGGGGCGGAGTCAGCAAAACTCATTATCATTTAAAGTCATATGCACTGAAACGGCGTGCTGAAAACAGAGCTGTTTTTGACCAGGTAAAATAAGTGTTTTCTTACAATACTAATGAGAATTTTTAATTAAAGTATATTACAAACTTTTAATTTAGACCCTAATGAATCATATTAGCTTGTACAAAAATGGCATTATATGACCCCTTTAAAGTCACCATAAAATCTAAATGGATTAGTTAGTTTTTCCGGGGAAGCAGCCGAGTTTGTGTGTTTGTGTCTTCCCGGCGTTCCCGTGACGGATCATGGAGCTCGCCTGCTTTCAGGAAGAATCGCTACAGCATATCTGTGTTTTATTAATCTGATCAAAGATGTATACACTCTTCGGAGATATGAAGGATGAACACTACTATAGTTACTCTAGATGAACATGACATGTGCCCTTTGATCATTTAGGGAAGCACTCGTTAGACAGAAATCAAGGGACAGTTAAATAAATCATTCACTCACTCTCATGTTGTTCCAAACGTGTGTGAGTCTCTGAACACAAAGGAAGATACTTTGAAGAGTGTCGGAAATCAAACAGCTGATGGACCCCATTGACTTCCATAGCATTAAAAAAATACTTCAACACTTAATTCAGAATATCTTCCTTTGTGTTCAGAAACTCACACAGGTTTGGAACAACACGAGAGTGAGTAAATGATATTCATTAGTGGGTGAAGTGTCCCTCCATTAATGTGTGTGTGTGTGTGTGTGTGTCTCCATTAATGTGTGTGTACTGTGATGAGTGCAGAATCAGGCCTGACGGCGATACACAGCCCAGTGTGTGTGTGTGTGTGTGTGCGTCTCCAGGGGTGTGTGTGTGTGTGTGCGTCTCCAGGGGTGTGTGTGTGTGTGTGCGTCTCCAGGGGTGTGTGTACACTGTGATGAGTGCAGAATCAGGCCTGACGGCGATACACAGCCCAGTGTGTGTGTGTGTGTGTGTGTGTGTGTGCGTCTCCAGGGGTGTGTGTGTGTGTGTGTGTGCGTCTCCAGGGGTGTGTGTGTGTGTGTGTGTGTGCGTCTCCAGGGGTGTGTGTACTGTGATGAGTGCAGAATCAGGCCTGACGGCGATACACAGCCCAGTGTGTGTGTGTGTGTGTGTGTGTGTGTGTGTGTGCGTCTCCAGGGGTGTGTGTGTGTGTGTGTGTGCGTCTCCAGGGGTGTGTGTGTGTGTGCGTGTGTGTGTGCGTCTCCAGGGGTGTGTGTACTGTGATGAGTGCAGAATCAGGCCTGACGGCGATACACAGCCCAGTGTGTGTGTGTGTGTGTGTGTGTGTGTGTGTCTCCAGGGGTGTGTGTGTGTCTGTGTGTGTGTGTGCGTCTCCAGGGGTGTGTGTGTGTGTCTCACCCTGGTTCTTGACCTCAGCGAACTCTTTGTTGTACTCCTCGAGCGTCTCACGCAGCTTCTGGTTCTCCGTGTCGATGTCATGCATCCTCTGAACCTTCAGATGCAGCTGCTGAGACAGCTCCAACACCGGCACCGGGTCTACACACACACACACACACACACACACACACATTAACATATCCACATCTGTATTATTACGGCCTATGAAGGGGAATATCTGTGATTGTGGTGTTTTGATGAGACGTACCCGGCACATCGATCAGCCGTTTGTAGACGTTCAGAAAGGCCGTCTCCGACTCTTTACTCCTCTTACTCAACGCATCGATCTAGAGGAGACAGAGAACACGCGCGTCTAACACACACCGACAGCGTCGCACACACACACACACTCGTGACGTGACGGCACTCACCTCGGCCTGGAAGCTCTTCAGCAGCGGAGACACCTGCTTCCTCAGATCCTACACACACACACACACACACAAGAAGAAGAAGCTTCAGTACCAAACACTTTGGTATATGTGTGTGTGTGTGTGACCTCAATCCCTCTGCTGACCTCTATTGCCCACTGCATTCACAGAGAATGAGCGCTAGTTGAACTGCTGCAGTAACTAGACGTGCTCTGTGGTGAAAGTCCAGCTTTTAATGTTGTTTATGTGTCTATGTGGTGTTTTTAATGTGCTTTAAGACACACCATGTGTAAGTTCATAAGTCGAAAGCATTGCTGAGTATTTTCTGCTTAAAACTGCAGTGAACCAAAGACAGTCTCAAACACACGGTTTGAAATCGCTGGTGTTTCTGACGTCACAAACAACCTTGTAACCAATCAGATCAACGTGTGATCGCCAACCAGTGGATCTCTGAGCTGAGGGAGTGAGTGGAGGCGGGGCTCATTTCCATATTCATAGAACCGTGGGAATGATCCTGTAATCTGGTCTCTCGGCTGCGTCACACACACACCTCTGACGTGCTCTTCTTGAACTCGCGGCTCTGCTCGATGAGCCTCTTCCTGGACTGCTCGCTGTCGTCCTGCCGGCTGGCCAGGAGTGTGGCGCTGCCGTCCAGCTCTCGCTGAAACACAGCAAACACACACACACGCTTACATCACAGCCGCTGAGAACACACTCTCACACCCACTGACTATTAAACACACGTCTCTATGCTGGCTCTATTATTGATGTCAAGTCAAGTCCATGTTTATTGTCATTCCTCTATATAACATGTACTGGAATGAGATGGCGTTTCTTCAACACGCAACATTACATAGTGCAAATAGCAGGGTGTCTACAGATATAAACAAGGTAAATTTAAGACCTTTTTAATGCCACTTTGAATGAAATTTAAGACCAAACCTGTTATGGAAATACACATTATATTACGTATATAATGTATAAAGCCTTTGACAGAAATCACACAGAAGTACTGGGATTAAGTTTACAGTCCGGATAGAAACGGGCAGTGATCAAAATAGAGTAAATCATCTTTTGAAAGTAACTTAGCGCGTTAAATATTGAGTGTATTGATGACATTGTTACACCAGTAGGTGGAGACAAGAGACCGTTACAAATGTGCTTGTCATTGAATCATTCATTCTAGAGATTCGTTCAAACGAAACAAGTGAAGTATTTATGAGCGAGTAATCGAACCATTCATTCAAACCGATTTTTTCTTAAATAATTCATTAAACATTTTAAATAATCTGCAGCAATTAAAATTAGTCAGAACCTCCAGTAAATGACATGTTATTTTGTTTGGTTGTCTGTTAACATCGTGGGAGAATCGCGATCTCTATATGAAACAAACAAACAAAAAATCATGATTCTCAGTTTATCCAGAATCATGCAGCTCTAATATTTAGGCTAATTATTGCAGGTTTGCGTAAGTTTCAGAATTTGCTTTTCACTGTTTTTATTTGTATTGATACTGAATCTGTTTTGCACAAGTGAGATAAGTAAATGCCTCATCACATTTATTCTAGAACTACAATAACTATCATTCAGACGGTCAATATCTCAAGATAGCCTATCTCTCAATATGGGCACAGAAGAGCTGTCAGCCACAACACATAGGGAAACTAAATAACCTCTGTTACTTGATTTTTGTTGTAAATTTAAAAGTAATGCGTTACTTTACTAGATACTTGGAAAAGTAATCTGATAACATAACTTACGTTACTTGTAATGTTGCGTACTGCCAACACTGCAGCTTCAAAACATACAACAGACCTATGATCTTCATACCATATAATCCAATCACAATTTGAATAAAAGTTTTATTTTTGATCATTCTAAGTTGACATACTGCAAAAGTTTTAGGAGTGAAACTGCATTTAAATATGACTAAATTATAGTTCCGTGTGTGAGTCTCTGACAAAACTGTGATGATAGACTGACTTTTGCTCAGAAGAACTGGTTATTAATCTGGCCTGGTAAAACACTGAGATGTGACAACAGCACAGACAGCATCTTTAGACCAAATGAGTCACACTGTTAAGACAAATAAGTCCAGCATTAAAGGACCGCTGATATCTGTTCATGTTTCTATAAGTGAGTACTACTTTTGAGGGTGTTGTTTACATCCCAGCCGCTGATCGATGACTGGTGATCGATGACAGATCAGCAGCCGATCACACATGAAGATGAACATGTCACAGGGATCGAGACCCACTGACCTGCAGCTGCTGCAAGTCGAAGCCCTTCCAGAACTGACACATCGATGATGCTGCGCTGCTGGCCGCCATCTTGGCGTCTTCACCACATCACAACACGATGACACGCGGCACGCGCACGCGCAGCACGGCTGTTTCTGCGGGACGCGCGCGGCGGCTCAAACAACTGTGATTGGCTCATCCTGCTCAACGCTGAGAAAAGTAACAAATGTCTTGACACACTGGCGCGAGCCAACAATATTCGACCTAAGTAATAACGGTAATAATAACAACGACAGCTCAATACTAATAGACATTCAATTAAAATAACACAACTAGGTTTATCTATTTTGTAATTGACAAATTTGTACGACACATTTCACGCTACTCCAACAGCTGGTGAACGAATGCTACTATGGCAAAGGATCAGCTCATTAATATTAATTAGACAATCCGGGCAGATTGGCCAATCACGGCAGCGTATGCTTATTATTATATTATTTTATTTGTTTTAAACTATTTATTCATTTTAAAACATTACAAACATAACCTAAAATACAATAAATCAATCTGAAAGGTGAAAGAAAGAAGAAAATTAAATGATTGTACAAACAATATGCCTTCCATATTAACACTTGAATATACCTTACATATTTAAACCTTATTAAACAAGCCCTCTAGTAAGAATAGAGGACATATTTAAACCATATCGAGACTGGATCGCATGTGGACCTCCTGTGAATGTATAAAAAGACTGAAAAAATAATGTATAAATGCACAAAGTATAACATTGAAGGGGCTTTATCCAATAACCAGTTCAGAAGAATACATTTTCTTACGCAGAATCTTAGAAACTTGCAAAGTGTCTTTTTTTCGTTTAGCGTATACCTATTAATATTCATGAGAAAAGCCGTCACCATAGTAGAAGCGTTTAGGACACGTGTCCTTCACTTCCGCTGTCTTCTGTTCGCTTCACATGTGTGCGCAAACATCATGGACGAGAAGATGCATCCCGATCTAGAGGATTTCTCCGAGGAGCCGCTTCTGGAGGCTTTCATCAAGGAGATCCAGAAAGAAGAGGTGGTGTTCCTCATCGGGATATGTGTGGCTTTAGCGCTCGTCATCCTCACTGTCGGTAAGAAGCAGGAGAGCCAAGTCAAACTTTATTAATATATTCATTATTACTACTTTAACACCCTTGTGTCTTTTTGCACAAGCACATTAGATCATGTTTCACAAATCTATTGGATTTAGGACAGGCCAAATAACCTTTAACCAGTGAGATTTTGTATGAATGTGGAGTGTTAAGAGAACAGATGGTTTGATCATCTTCAGTCAGTGTGGGATTACATGAGACACCAGAACAGGTGATTTAAGTGTTTTAAGATTTAAGTGTTCATGAAAACACAACAAAACGCTTGATTTGCCAACATGAGGATCCTGTGGAAGGAGATGCTATCTTTAGTGTTGATGAAGATGCTGTCAGTGGGCGGGGCTGAGCTGATGATGCTGTCAGTGGGCGGGGCTGAGCTGATGATGCTGTCAGTGGGCGGGGCTGAGCTGATGATGATGCTGTCAGTGGGCGGGGCTGAGCTGATGATGCTGTCAGTGGGCGGGGCTGAGCTGATGATGCTATTTGATTACTAACAATGAACATGAAAATAGTATGGAAGCTTGTTTCTGCCAAAGAATAAAACAGATAATTGTTACTTTTTATCTCACAATTGCGAGTTTACATCTCGCAATTCTGACTTTTCTTTCTGTAATTCAGAATTGCGTGATATAAAGTCGCAATTGCGAGAAATAAACTCACAATTCTGACTTTTTTCTCAGAATTGCATGTTTATATCTCGCAACTGTGACTTTATAACACAGTTATAAGACAGTCTAAGAAAGTCGAAAATTCGACCTGTTGTCTGTAACGGTGATCCAATGTGAAAGGCCAAACGCTGCGTGAATCTGTTCCATTGCAGAGCCTATAACATCATATGTACGCCTGCCCTTTATTCTTCTGCATGCGATGGCAGCTTTCTCACGAGTCGAGTTGTGTGGATTGATCCAGTGCACAGTGATTCCCAGAAAGCTTCTGTTATGGCTACTCCATATATCCGCAGTGGTTGACGCATACTGCAAACTCTCGAACGTTTTCTTTAATTCAATCTCCATTTTTAGATAACATTCGTGGAAGTCCTCCGATCTGACCATGGCCGCCTGTCTCCTGTCATAGGTGTTTTGCTAAGTATTTTTCTGAAAGTGGGAGATTCGACAGTATTGATGGGCAATATTTCATCGACGATGAACGAATCTCTTGTTTTGCTTCCTCCTGGTGGTGAAAATGAAGTTTTAGCTGGTTATTTGGGGTTGGACTCGACATATCATCATTTCCCCGGGGATCTTGAGTAACAAGCTTCATGTTAGCATGTTTTCCTTTCAAATGCTTGGTGAGGTTGGCAGTTGAGTGAACGGCAGTGGACAAAAGTCTCTCGCCAGGACCCAGTGTACCCCTTCCACTCACATCCCTCCCCTTAGCTTCAGGGGTTTGAAGGAGTGGGAATGCCTCCTCCATCCCTCAAAAGTTAGCGCTGGCTGCTTCTCGCTTGCCTTGATGGCTCTGCTACAGCCGCTGTGCGTAGCCTGCCGCGTGGAGCTGGAGACTATAGCGCCCGCAAGCAGCTGAGAAGGCAGAGTCGCGGTCAAATCTGCCCATGGGAAAGTAACTTTGCGCCGAATTGAAAAAGGAACTACGTTTCGCTAACAAATTTTCAGTAGTGGCGTTACACTACTGTTTACCCGAAAAAGTAGTTATGTTACTGTAACGCGTTACACAACACTGACTATACATGCAAGTATGACTTTTTATCTCGCAATTCTGACTATATCTCGCAATTCAGAGAAATAAAGTCAGAATTGCGTGATGTAAACTTGTAATTGTGAGATAAACCGTCTCAATTATCTTTTTAAATGTTTTATTCTGTGGCGGAGACAGGCTTCCGTACAGTAGTGATGTCCAGCATGTAGTGTGAAACATGTATAGGCCACCGGCGCTGACTGATCTGAGCTCATGTGTGCTCCTCTTTCAGTCTTCTTTGGGAAGTTTTGGGGCTCCAGTAAAGCGAGGAACGCCGTGCTGCTCCTGGGACTGTGTGACTCTGGGAAAACTCTCCTGTTCACTCGAGTGAGTAACACTCAATACATCATGCGTCCATACACAACACACACACTTGGACAATACATTATGCATCCATTCACAACACACACACACACTTGGACAAAACATCATGCATCCACAACACACACACACACTTGGACAAAACATCATGCATCCACAATACACACACACACACACACTTGGACAAAACATCATGCATCCACAACACACACACACTTGGACAAAACATCATGCATCCACAACACACACACACTTGGACAAAACATCATGCATCCACAACACACACACACACACTTGGACAAAACATCATGCATCCACAATACACACACACACTTGGACAAAACATCATGCATCCACAACACACACACACTTGGACAAAACATCATGCATCCACAACACACACACACACTTGGACAAAACATCATGCATCCACAACACACACACACTTGGACAAAACATCATGCATCCACAACACACACACACACACACACACACTTGGACAAAACATCATGCATCCACAATACACACACACACTTGGACAAAACATCATGCATCCACAATACACACACACACTTGGACAAAACATCATCCATCCACAACACACACACACACTTGGACAAAACATCATCCATCCACAATACACACACACACTTGGACAAAACATGCATCCATCCACAACACACACACACACTTGGACAAAACATCATGCATCCATTCACAACACACACACACACACTTGGACAAAACATCATCCATCCACAACACACACACACACACACTTGGACAAAACATGCATCCATCCACAACACACACACACACACACACTTGGACAAAACATCATGCATCCATCCACAACACACACACACACACACTTGGACAAAACATCATTCATCCACAACACACACACACTTGGACAAAACATCATGCATCCACAACACACACACACACACACACACACACACTTGGACAAAACATCATGCATCCACACTACACACACACACACACTTGGACAAAACATCATGCATCCACAACACACACACACACACTTGGACAAAACATCATCCATCCACAATACACATACACACACACACACACACACACACACTTGGACAAAACATCATGCATCCACACTACACACACACACACACACACACACTTGGACAAAACATCATGCATCCACAACACACACACACACACTTGGACAAAACATCATCCATCCACAATACACATACACACACACACACACACACACACACACACTTGGACAAAACATCATCCATCCACAATACACATACACACACACACACACACACACACTTGGACAAAACATCATGTATCCACAACACACACACACACACACACACACACACACACACACTTGGACATGATTCGCTGTGTTTCTCCAGTTGTTACTAGGGAAGTTTGCAAGAACTCAGACGTCCATCACAGAGAGCAGCGCCACATACAAGAGCAAGAGCGACCGCGTAAGTTACGATCTCATATATACGACTGTACACGCGTGTGATGTCATACAGCTGAGATGAGACTAGTTTAACAGTGTGTTTGATGTTGCAGGGCAGCAGTTGGACTCTCATAGATGTCCCTGGTCATGAAAGTTTAAGAGTTCAGATAGTGGAGAAGTACAAGGCCGTGGCTCGGTGAGTGATGAAGATGAAGATGAGCATTATGGCCTGTTATTACACGGCTCTGTGGAATGCTTGATTCTGATTGGTCAATAGCGCCGTCCAGCGGTGAGGGATTCCCAGATAACAGCCGCTGAGAACAGAAACACAGGCTCATCCGGTCACTGGCGGTGCCGCCGGCTTTGCCCTTCATCGCTGCTCGCAGCTATATTTATATATAAACAAGCCGGCGGCACTGCCACCCCGGTGCCTTTAGGGTTACTGAGTAGTCTTTACTTTAGTCCATCTCTCGATTGGCGTGACTGGTTGTTCATCGGTGTGTGTGTGTGTCTGAAGGCTCTTTGTGGGATGTTTTAGAGCCGTGGTGTTTGTGGTGGACAGCAGCGTCTTCCAGAAGGACGTCAGAGACGTGGCCGAGTTCCTCTACTCCATCCTCACTGACGGCACCGTGGCCAAGAACACCCCCGCTCTCCTGGTGGCCTGCAACAAACAAGGTCTCTGCTGAAGTCAGCCAGCATTATGTGGAAGGAGAATAATGCCTGTTGTGTGTGTATAATGAAAATGTGTGTGAAATGTAGCCACAGCTTAAATATGCGACCATGTTAAAGCTCCAGTCGGCAAGTCTGGCAGATTGAGTGGATTTAGGAAAATGTTGAATGTTTACAACTCTCATGCCCCTCCCCCACTATCAACGGATACCCTCCCACCCAGTTCATGCTCGTCAGTGCGTGTGCACCAGATTTTCAGTGAACGCCAGGACTCTCAAGTGTCACGCATTGAGCGTGACAGTCACTCATTTCGGTCTTTTGTCACGCTCTCCCGCCACACATTGTTTTTCTCACGCTGAAAAACTATTTGAAATATATTTAATATGCCGCAGCGCCGCTCTCACTGTGGAACCGGCATGAATCAAGCGTGTTTCCTCTGGTGTTGTTCGTCGAGCTACACAATAGCCAATCAGAAAATAGCACTATTGTATCTGGGTAAGATTTAACGCAACAACCAATGACAAAAATGTATCCAACCCCCCGTCGGCTGGGTGTCACTCTTACCTGTCTTCAAAACTTGAGAGCCCTGGAACGCGCCCGTCTCATCAGCATCCATCAACACCATGGAGTATTTGGAGGTATGCTGTCCTGGCTAATGTACCGATAGATTGCAATTGCTAACGTCATTTATACTCTAAATGAGCGTACTTGATTTTCCGCCATCACTCTTCGTTACTGCGCGAACTTCCGCGAACGTCAGGCGTGTGCATGTGATTGTAACGTGCGCGAGGGGTGGCGTGAGCCCGATCTGTGATTGACAGTTAGATCTCACACCCCCCTACGCTGATTGGACATGATGAACCGGGAGCTGTGGATTTTTGCAAAACAAATAACATGCTCCAGGTGGAGTTAGAAGCTCAGGGTTTTTTCTAAAACCACTTTATTTATGTTGTTCTGTCAGATTATAGTGTCGATTTCACTGAATATGATAAAAAAAATGTTGCCGACGGCAGCTTTAAGTTTCGGCTCATTAAAATACAGAAACACCAGCGATTTCAAACCGTGTTTTTGAGACTGTCTTTGGTTCACTGCAGTTTTAAGCAGAAAATACTCTGCAATGCTGTCGACTTATGAACTTACAATTTATTAAAAACACCACATAGACACATAAACAACATTACAAGCTGGACTTTCACTAGAGGTTGATGTTGCATTGTAAAATGCAAGCACGGCTAATTTTTTCAAGTTGTGCAATTCAACAAACTTTTTAGTTTAAAAAACATTGGCATTATTTTCCTTCCATAGCATCCTAAAGAGCATCCCATCCCAGATGCTTTAATGTGCCGTGTATAATTAATAAACGCCTCTGCACCACAGAGAAAACACTGAACATCGCTAGCTCTGCTTTTATAAAGACACGTATGAAGACGTGCGAGTGGGAATGTGTGTGTAGTGCACTAGGCTTGCTTTCATGTCTTCAGATAGTGAATATGATCGCTGCACACCACTTACGGTTTAAGAAAAAACATTTCTTTGATAAATTATTATTATTTATTATTACAGGCTCAAGGCCCACAGAAGACAATACTGAACACAGATCAATAAAAACATCACACATTCATATATACACATTATATACAGCAACAACAGAAGAATAGAGCTAATGAAGGCACAAATACCAGTGATCCCATGTTTTTGACATGTACCTCACAGAGCTACGACTTGGATCTACTATCTGAACAATAAGCTCATTCATGGATCGGTCCAGCCTGTTCATAAACTTGAAAGTTAGATTTCTCACACTATGCAAATAAATATTTGCATAGTGATCCATTAAAATGCATTTGGGTTTTCAAAAATGTATGAATGGATTTCAGAAGTCTGGAGTGCTTGATTGTTTTCTTTCTTTTATCTCCAGATATCTCTATGGCAAAATCAGCCAAATTAATCCAGCAGCAGTTGGAGAAGGAGTTGTGAGTATCTACTTATTTCTGGCTCTCTTATGATAGTCTTAAAGGGGTCATATAATGCCATTTTTGTACAAGCTAATATGATTCTTTAGGGTCTAAATTAAAAGTTTGTAATATACTTTAATTACAAATTCTCATTAGTATTGTAAGAAAACACTTATTTTACCTGGTCAAAAACAGCTCTGTTTTCAGCACGCCGTTTCAGTGCATATGACTTTAAATGATCATGAGCTTTGCTGACTCCGCCTCTCTGTTCTGTGTACACCGTTTGTAACTCAATAACACAATAACCATAACACGTTGTTCATTATAGACGTGGGATTATGAATTATATTGAGAACGTGGTACATAGAAAACATGCAGTAATGTACCCTGAGTGTAAACCTTCATCGTGAAGCGATTTGCAAAGATATAAATATTAATATAAAGTTTAATAAAACGTTACACTCACTTCAGTTGTTCTAGAGGTTCAGCAGGAACACGAATAGCTGGTACCGATCGATCCTTTATTCATGAGCAGCTTCTTAGCAAATCCAGCTTTATACTGATCCTCGTTTATAAAGCAGTCTGGTGAGAAATGATTCGCGCAAACATGAAAGCATTGACGTTGCTCGTGGGGAATATTCCCTTCGAAAACAAACTCAGCCACTGCGTCTTCAGCGGTTCGGATTTAGGAACATTAAAATGACTGTGTTCGTTATTACACCCAAGAACAGAACACCACAATCGCTTAGACGCCATTCTGCTCATAGACAGTGCTCCAGCATATCAACAATGACCGCGCCGGTCCGCGCAGACTATGATTGACAGCTCTCACGAGCGAGGGTGGGTCTGTGTTGAAACGTTGCTGTCAATCAACAATCGTGGGAGGGGCTTCCGAGCAGGTGACGTCACACGGTAGATGGCATGAAAAGTGCTTTTGTGTTCAAATCAAGTATTCGTTTTTGAACTCCGTTGTTTGCCTTTCATATTCCTTCCGTTGTCGAAGCTTTGCCCTCTACAATCATTAATGTCTAAGCCCAGCATCTCCAGATGGTGTAGGGAAGTGTTCGCCTGTCTTGGGCTCGACTGGGAGAAATCCAGTTAAGTGTTCTGTTATTAAAACATCAGATGTCTCGCAAGCCACACTACGCAGTATAACTGACATGTGTTCAACGTGAGAAACATCAGGCGTACCGTCCATGATCACGGCTTAATATTTAGCATCCGTATGATCCGTTCAATTAGTTCCTTCTGAATGTCCTTGCTCAAGTAGTGACGACGGCGTGTTATGTCATGTCTCTGAATTCTTCACAAGTGCTCATTCATTACTGGGTCACACTTAGCAAGCAACTCCACTTCACCCAAGATATTAGCATTGGAGGCTCAAAGAGTTAACCGGACGTCCTGCGAAAGGCTAAGTTCTGTTCAGCTAAATGGCATGTTATGCTGATGATTCTGGTTAGTACGGCACGCCACTGATTTCTCTCGCTCTCGATCGAAGTGGGATGTTTAATAACAGGGTTTGCAAAATCTTTGTGGAACAGAGTTGTTATTCTGCGGGAACACACAAATTTTGTATGAATTCGCATCTCCTTCAGCCTGAGACTTATTTTTGGTGTGAAAGGACCTTCACATTTGCCAATTTTTTTTACTTTTTTGTTAGTAAAGCAAGTCCACCTTAGATGAGGAAAAGTAGCGCAAAAGTAACGTAACGCATTACTTTCCATAAAAAACAACTAAGTAATGCAATTAGTTTCTTTTTTAGGGAGTAATGCAATATTGTAATGCATTAATTTTAAAAGCAACTTTGCCCAACACTGCTGGTGGAAGAAAACTTACATGAACTGGCCAGCTTTAGTCTGTTGGAGTGTGTGTTGAGGGTGTTGTTGTTCACGGCCTGATTCTCCACAGGAACACACTGAGGCTGACGCGGTCCGCGGCGCTCTCCTCTCAGGACGGGGCGGTCGGGGGATCGGTGTATCTGGGCAAGAGAGGCAAGGACTTCGAGTTCTCTCAGCTGCCGGGCCGCGTGGAGTTCATCGAGTGCAGCGCTCGCGGGAGCAAAGGGGAAGACGGAGACACCGCTGGCATCGACGCGCTGGAGAAGAGCCTGGCCAGACTCTGAACATCTCCAACTCCTCCTCTGAATCATGAACTTGCTGTCAGATCTGGATTGTGTCTGTTATTGCTGTGCTAACCCAGCGGCGTACATCATGTGTAAACTGATGCAGCACATCGTGTGATCGGGCAGAGTCAGTGTGTGTGAATGCAAACACTGCCTCGTCCATATGCTTTTCCTTGCCCTAGTGTGTTGAGTTTTCACTCCAGGGCTCTTCTAGAACCGGGGGCCGGTCCAGATTCATCTCCTTTTTTCAGATCTATTGTATTTTGTTCTGCTAGAGGCAAGTGAATGCTATTAAAGATGGCTTATGCCTACTTGTTTTCATGCTGCTTCTCCGAAGGCTTCTGTTTACAGTTTTTTTTTTATTCGCTTTGGTACTATTTTCACAAGTAAGGTGTACATTTTCAAAACTCTTAGTACAAAAATCCAAACTGATCACACTTGTAACGCAGCTAGTCATTCTTTCAAAACCTGATGTCATGCTTTTAGTCAGTTGCACATGTTTTCAGTCCACATAATCATTGTTTCAAACACAAGATTTTGTAATATGTAATGAGAACATTTGGTTTAATCACCGAAACACAACAGTATGATCTTCTTTCAGTTTAGTACTTTTAACAATCAGTTCATCCAACAGCAAACAATGCAAGATACATGTTTCAAATCGGCCTTAGAAGTGCTAAAATTAATATGCTACAGTACTATAAAAGACAGATTACACAGTTTTCACATTAGGCAATACACTTACATTACCAAACATTTACATAATCTGTCATTTCCAAAATATCCATCCTATGTGTATATCAAGTGAAGGATCAATGAAGACCTCCTCTACAATCATTTGAGCAAATTAGTTTTTATTTTTCAGATATAATTGTAACATAGGTATACTTTCTATAATGAAATGTAACGAAATGAGAACAAAACATAACATTTAGTGCACACATTACGTAATTTGGATCAAGCCTGTCTTGAGCATTTGGCCATAGATTCTCGTCCACATCACAATGAATGTTATCATTGTTCATGCACCTTGGGAAAAACCTTTTGGCGTGACGAATCCATGCTTGACATTGGTCTACACTGATGTCATCACATGCTTCATCCATGGCCTGAAGGAGGGTGGCACGCTCCAGGGGTCGGCGATCATAGACCTTCCACCTCCATGCTGAAAGAAATTCCTCAATAGGGTTGAGGAAAGGAGAGTATGGAGGCAGGTAGAGGGTCATGAATCGGGGATGGGCCTGAAACCATGCTTGAACTACCTCTGCATGGTGGAACCTGACATTGTCCCACACAATTACATAGGTGACCCTTTCACCTTGACAGGCCGGCTCAATTTCATTGAGAAACTCAATAAGATGTGCAGCATTATAGAAGCCAAGTAATGTCCTACGACACCATCTTCAGAGATAGCTGCGCACATGGAGATGTTTCCTCCACGCTGTCCAGGCACTTGGACTGTGGCCCGTTGGCCGATGATGTTCCGTCCACGGCGACGAGTTTTGGCCAGGTTAAAGCCCGCTTCATCAACAAAAATGTATTTGTGATGGTTCACATCAGCGTCAAGCACCATAACCCTCTAAAAAATATATTTTGGTTAGTTCTTTTTACAGTGTTGTTCCATATATATATGACATAAGTGATGCATCAAATAGTAACAGTAATACAATATATAGTGCTGTACCTGAACATACTCAGCCCTTAGTTGTTTCACCAGGTCATTGTTTCTCTCAAAAGGCACCAGGTAAATTTGTTTCATTGATACCTGGTGCCTCTTCAAAAGGCGGCCTACTGTTGGTAGGCTGATGGATGCCACATTGGCAAAGGTGTCATTGTTCTCCTCAATTGCCTGCTTTATTTCTGACAGCCGTATATCATTCCTGGCCCTCACCATTTCCACCACTGCCAACTCTTGCTGATTGGTCAGCACACGGCCGCAGCCACCACTATGGGGTTTTCTCTCAATTCTAAGCATAGAACAGAGTATACTGTCAATAAATCATACTGTACCAATACTGTAACATGTCTGATGAATTTACATGCATTACAATTTACTGTAAATGTAATACTGTAGTATACGTCCTCCACACTTACCGGTTTTCTTGGCGAAAAGTTCGGATGATAGAATTGACAGTTGATCTTTTTAGATTTGAATCAACTAATCTGGCAGCCTCTGCCATAGTAAGGCCTCGGTTCACCACATGATCAACGATGATGGCCCGGACTTCATTAGAGACAACAGTTCTGCCTCCCTCTCTCTGATGACCAACCCTTTGACGGGCCCCATGCCCACCTCTCTGACCTCTCTGTTAGTGCCCATGCCCACCTCTCTGTTAGTGCCCATGCCCACCTCTCTGCCCACCTCTCTCACCTCTCTGATCTCTCTGCCCACCTCTCTGACCTCTCTGCCCACCTCTCTGACCTCTCTGCCCACCTCTCTGACCTCTTTGCCCACCTATCACCTCTCTGACCTCTCTGTCCACCTCTCTCACCTCACTGACCTCTCTGCCCACCTCTCTCACCTCTCTGACCTCTCTGCCCACCTCTCTCACCTCTCTGACCTCTCTGTCCACCTCTCTCACCTCTCTGACCTCTCTGCCCACCTCTCTGACCACCTCTCTCACCTCTCTGCCCACCTCTCTCACCTCTCTGACCTCTCTGCCCACCTCTCTCACCTCTCTGACCACCTCTCTCACCTCTCTGACCTCTCTGCCCACCTCTCTGACCACCTCTCTCACCTCTCTGCCCACCTCTCTCACCTCTCTGACCTCTCTGCCCACCTCTCTCACCTCTCTGACCACCTCTCTCACCTCTCTGACCTCTCTGCCCACCTCTCTGACCACCTCTCTCACCTCTCTGCCCACCTCTCTGACCACCTCTCTCACCTCTCTGACCTCTCTGACCACCTCTCTCACCTCTCTGACCTCTCTGCTTACCTATCTCACCTCTCTGCCCACCTCTCTCACCTCTCTGACCTCTCTGCCCACCTCTCTCACCTCTCTGACCTCTCTGCCCACCTCTGACCTCTCTGACCACCTCTCTCACCTCTCTGCCCACCTCTCTCACCTCTCTGACCTCTATGCCCACCTCTCTGACCTCTCTGCCCACCTCTCTCACCTCTCTCACCTCTCTGCCCACCTCTCTCACCTCTCTGACCACCTCTCTCACCTCTCTGACCACCTCTCTCACCTCTCTGCCCACCTCTCTCACCTCTCTGACCTCTCTGCCCACCTCTCTCACCTCTCTGACCTCTCTGCCCACCTCTCTCACCTCTCTGACCACCTCTCTCACCTCTCTGCCCACCTCTCTCACCTCTCTGACCTCTCTGCCCACCTCTCTGACCTCTCTGCCCACCTCTCTCACCTCACTGACCTCTCTGCCCACCTCTCTCACCTCTCTGACCTCTCTGCCCACCTCTCTCACCTCTCTGACCTCTCTGCCCACCTCTCTCACCTCTCTGACCTCTCTGCCCACCTCTCTCACCTTTCTGACCTCTTTGCCCACCTCTCTGACCTCTCTGCCCACCTCTCTCACCTCTCTGACCTCTCTGCCCACCTCTCTCACCTCTCTGCCCACCTCTCTGCCCACCTCTCTCACATCTCTGACCTCTCTGCCCACCTCTCTCACCTCTCTGACCTCTCTGCCCACCTCTCTCACCTCTCTGACCTCTCTGCCCACCTCTCTCACCTCTCTGCCCACCTCTCTCACCTCTCTGCCCACCTCTCTGCCCACCTCTCCCACCTCTCTGCCCACCTCTCTCACCTCTCTGACCTCTCTGCCCACCTCTCACCTCTCTGCCCACCTCTCCCACCTCTCTGACTTCTCTGCCCACACTTCTCTCACCTCTCTGACCTCTCTGCCCACCTCTCTCACCTCTCTGACCTCTTTGCCCACCTCTCTGCCCACCTCTCTCACCTCTCTGCCCACCTCTCTCACCTCTCTGACCTCTCTGCCCACCTCTCTCACCTCTCTGCCCACCTCTCTGCCCACCTCTCTGCCCACCTCTCTGCCCACCTCTCTGCCCACCTCTCTCACCTCTCTGACCTCTCTGCCCACCTCTCACCTCTCTGCCCACCTCTCTCACCTCTCTGACTTCTCTGCCCACACTTCTCTCACCTCTCTGACCTCTCTGCCCACCTCTCTCACCTCTCTGACCTCTTTGCCCACCTCTCTGACCTCTCTGCCCACCTCTCTCACCTCTCTGCCCACCTCTCTCACCTCTCTGACCTCTCTACCCACCTCTCCCACCTCTCTGCCCACCTCTCACCTCTCTGACCTCTCTGCCCACCTCTCACCTCTCTGCCCACCTCTCTCACCTCTCTGACTTCTCTGCCCACACTTCTCTCACCTCTCTGACCTCTCTGCCCACCTCTCTCACCTCTCTGACCTCTTTGCCCACCTCTCTGACCTCTCTGCCCACCTCTCTCACCTCTCTGCCCACCTCTCTCACCTCTCTGACCTCTCTGCCCACCTCTCTCACCTCTCTGACCTCTTTGCCCACCTCTCTCACCTCTCTGCCCACCTCTCTCACCTCTCTGACTTCTCTGCCCACACTTCTCTCACCTCTCTGACCTCTCTGCCCACCTCTCTCACCTCTCTGACCTCTTTGCCCACCTCTCTGACCTCTCTGCCCACCTCTCTGACCTCTCTGACCTCTTTGCCCACCTCTCTCACCTCTCTGACCTCTCTGCCCACCTCTCTCACCTCTCTGACTTCTCTGCCCACACTTCTCTCACCTCTCTGACCTCTTTGCCCACCTCTCTGACCTCTCTGCCCACCTCTCTCACCTCTCTGACTTCTCTGCCCACACTTCTCTCACCTCTCTCACCTCTCTGACCTCTTTGCCCACCTCTCTGACCTCTCTGCCCACCTCTCTCACCTCTCTGACCTCTTTGCCCACCTCTCTGACCTCTTTGCCCACCTCTCTCACCTCTCTCACCTCTCTGACGGATTCCTTGTCCACGAGCTCTTCCAATTCCTTGCGATCTATCCTGCTCCATGTTAAAAGAAATTGCCAGTGTTTACACCCCCACTTTT